TCTGATGTGCCTCTCCCGATGTAAGTGGTGAATATGTATGGTTATGTCAATCTACCCTGCCCTCTCATACCACCATGCGTTCAAGATTCTGTCCAAATTGATGTTTATGCTTATAACTAAGTCTGGTTCACTGACTTAGGTCTGGAAGATGGATGGTCTCTTGTCAAAATTGTCGAAAATCAGTTTCCATTATCTTGAAGCATATGGGATTCGAGAAGGACGGGCTTAACTGGGAGATTTCCTGGCATGCTGTTGTAGGGACTTTATAATGATTGCGTATTTTCCGAATTTAAGTAACTCTTTTGGTTGTGGCTGATGTCACATGATCCGTATAAATATTCACTTCTTTATGTGTAAAACGGGAAAATGACATTTATGGTTTGGTCCAATTAATGCCACGATTAGTTGACTGTAGCCTTTTGACCCCAAGTGTTACATCATGTCTGTGATTGTGTGCAACTGCATAAATCCATATGTTATGATTTCAGGACACCGACATTCTCTCTGTGGCTTAGACACACTACAGAAACATGTTTATTTCATGATGTGCCCGACTTGGAACACTGAGTGAGTTCAAAGGCACTGCCGGTGTTTACACTCTGTATCGGTTCTTGTACTCTATTTTCATATTCTTAGAACTATGACTAAATGTTAAAGTGCCGATCATGTCAAGTGAACTTTGCAGAACCAGTCCCTAGAGTGTCTGTGACAGTCAGTTGTATAACAGATGGAGTCTGTGAGTATGGTTACCTCTGTTGGCAATATTCCAACATTATCACCCTGATCATTCTATTTCAAATAGTCTCTGTGCTTCCTGCTCAGAATATCTATTCTTTAGAGACGACTGACATGGGATAGAATGGTCACTGTCGTGACTGATTGTCTGTCATTTGTGGAATGTGTCTCATGATTTCAGTCTGTGGTTTGTCAGACCCAGCGCGAAAAATCACATGATTACTGGGGCCTCTGCAGCACTGTTTAAGGAAGGTTTCGTTTAACAATGAGACAGTTGTTACCGTGGTGCAACCCGACATACTAATAAAAAAACAAACGATAGAAATATTTCTTTAAAATATTATGCCTATCACTGGATTGTCAGGTCCAGATACATCAATTTATAGACCGCCTCTGCATTAAACAAACAAACAAAGTGATAACGAGTCACGTGGGCTGTTATCTACGACCCAGGATACATATTACATAATTAATGAAAGTAATTGGCGAATGCATATATTTCAAAATTGGAAAACAGCAGTTTGGCACAATTGGCGTTATTGAGTGTTAACAGCCACAGTTAAAATAATACAAGAATCGGTATCGAAACGCCGCATCACCTGAATAAAGTAGTAGTTCATCCAAAAAGTTGTCCTTATCTGACTCTTCAACTTCTGAAAATGTCACTCAAAGAGGTCACAGTGACCTAGTAATGACAACCATTGTCTGATTGAACATCTAATTACAATGGTCAGTTAACACGTGCTAATGACATGCATGATTAGAATCACTGCCATGAAACTCAGTTTGATAATCATTTTATATGTACTGTCCACCCGTGAAGATCCGGTTTAGAATTGGTCTTCAGTAACCCATGCTTGTCGTAAGAGGCAACCAACGGGATCGGGTGGACAGGCTCTCTGACTTGGTTGACACATGTCATCGTATCCCATTTGCGTAGATTGATGCTCATGCTGTTGCTCATTGGATTATGTGGTCCAGACTCAATTATTTACAGACAGCCGCAATATAGCTGGAATATTGCTGAGTACTGCGTTAAACAACAAACTAACCAACAGCCAATATGTGATGTCAGCGGGACAGGGCAGCTGAACTACTGTTTGAATATATGACTTAACCCATGACCGATGACCAAGGCGATATATACCTCTCGTCTGAATCACCAGAGACAAAGGGAGAGAAAAGGACACTAACACTTCGAGTTCAGTAGGTTTCTAATTAACTTGGTACACTGTACAGCTTCTATATGTCTATCTGTTAGTTATGACTGACTGACTGACTGAGTTTTAGTTTTACGCCGCTTTTAGCAATATTCCAGCAATATCACGGCGGGGGACACCAGAAATGGGCTTCACACATTGTGCCCATGTGGGGAATCGAACCCGGGTCTTCGGCGTGACGATGTTAATTATGAACGTGATGCTGTCACTTTATATGGACAACAGTAAGTCGCCAATTTCTTATATATATATGATGATCATGACCAATTTCGCAAGCGTCCCTAAGCCATTTGCCAACGCGGCGTTAGAACGTTATGGCGAGACAATACTTTTTTTATGATATCTAAATAATGCGAAAGCTTCCACGTTTGCATCAATCAATCAAATGCTAGGGGAAGCGATACAATCCCCTGAACATCTTGACTGAAGAACAGTTTTTTTTATCTCTCTGGATTCTCCCTGGTGATAAAACAGCGATACGTGAAACAAAACAAGGCCCACTGGCTCACTCGCCCAATCGCGCACTCACGTTCACGGAATGACGTTCATATTGATGGCAGGACATACGTTAGGAAAACGGTAGGAACGAGTGAATAAGTTTAGTTTCACACCGCTTTGCTTACCCAGCAATGTCGGGTGCAGTAGGAATTAAATCTGAACTTCAATGCATTCATGAAGTCTGCAGTGATAAGATTTACATAGAGCTGGACATGAAAACACCTGGTGTCATAACTGATTTCAGTGTTCAGTATTTCAAGCTTTTGCGCCCTTCTGAATCTGCAGATAATCGAGACTGAGTATTCCCTGGCTTTTACGTTTGATACGTAAAACTTCAAAGGGATGTCATTATGTCAGAACTTCGGATAGCAATCAGGCATTTTCGTACTGGCAACGTGACAGACAGAAGTCACAGCCTCAAAGAGCCGGGCTCATGTTTGAACTTCATACAGCATCGCGTACGACAAATGTTCTTTAAACAGAATCTTATTTCTATATGTATTGTTTGCAAGGAATGTGTTTTCCCATTTTTCCGATACTAATAACGTACTAGTTATTACGTATTTGCATAAAACACAATTTTCACGAGCACATGAATAATTTCCTAATCAAAAATGTGTATCAATCACGGGCCATAACTCGCACAACATGTGATGTCCTTACATTAGTTGGTAGACAATACATCATCATGTTATATTAATTGGAATGTGCATTCACGTGAATAGATAACCGAGTATGACAAATACTGTAAACAAGATGACGCACACATTTGAATTCATTGTTCTGAGGTCAAGGTATAGTTGTAAACATGAATCCCTGATCCTATTGACAGTACTAAGTGATCTTGTAATGAGTTGTTGCAAACCATGCGTGACATGCCACATCGCTGGCATGAGAATCAATAGAGAGGATTCAATGTAAATCGCTGCATGTCTATATTCAGCTTCAGATAATAAGGTACAGGCGATTTTAGCAATTAGGCACAGCGCGATCTGCTACAGACGCCCATTATTCAGCTGTTTGATGCTGGCTAAATATGTTTGTAAAACTGGCTTTCGGGGACTGATTTCAACCAAGTTACGTTTAAATAACGTTTGTAATCGTTTCGTTAAATTTAATTTTCTAATTTTGCAGTTTACTTGCAAGAGAATACATGCATGTCGGTTGAGAAAGGCAAAGCTGTATTTTCGTGATGCTTTGCTCCAGGTTGCATTCTAGGCAGCGGAGGTTGTGTAAACGCCGCATAAGGAACTACACCATTGCTTGTTAATGATAGATTGTTTGATTCGTTGGTTGGTTTGTTGTTTACGCCGCACTCAGCACTATTCCAGCTTTATGGCAGTGGTCTGTAAATAATCGAGTCTGGACCAGACAATCCAGTGATCAGCATCATGAGCATCGACTTTCGCAATTGGGATACGATGACATGTGTAAACCAAGTCAGCGAGCCTGTCCACCCGATACCGTTAGTCGCCTCTTGCGACGAGCATGTGTTACCGAAGATCACTTCTAACCCGGATCTTCACGGATCTGCTGATGATGGAATGTTAAGCATCATATGACTGCACGCCAGAGCAAGACGCCACGCTATAGAGTTTGGACGACTCCCAAAGGCGTTTTAGTAGGCACTTCCACAAGCGGTGTCTTCTGGAATTTGATTAACCCAGAAGGCTTAGAGATGAAAACGCAGCGATAAAATTGTTCAAGATTTGTACTTTATATTTTGTACAGGATATGAGATCGTGGATGCAGCATGTGCTCATTTTCATATGTGATATATGATTTAAACGATTATATTAAAATTATTTACAAGAGGATTACTTTTAACGCGACGGTTTGCGATTCCATTGTATGAAGTATGTGGATAAAGATAACTTGTATCAATGGTGGTTAAGGGATCGTTTCCCGGATATCTTGTGGACATTTGACTGCATGTGAATATTTCCCATGCTAATCTCTTCTCGCTCAATTCAAACATTCGGAGAAAGAACATACTTTCTGTTTTGTAAACTTCATCTCAGTATTTTACTCCAACCAAACAGATATCATTCATGACATTCACGACGTCATATATTCTGTGATGACGTCATAACATCCAGAGTGACAATTTGGATGTGTGCTCATCTATAGAGACACTTACGGAATATTTCCGTTCATATTTGTAGTTCACAATTTAGATACTCATTATCAATTACCAAGTCTGCGCTAGTAATTGATTGAGCATTCACCTACCTGAAATTGTAACATTTTTAGGGTACCAAATACTTAATTATGCACATAAACCTATTTATTTATGACATAAGTGTTTGTGGGAACAATAATAAGAATAATATATAGCATCTTTCATGGCATAAACATGATTATAGCATCGGTAAAACATCCTTGCATTTATACATTTGATTTCAATATCATTTACACCTAAAGAATTGCAAAGATTACTTTTTGCAAACATATAACAGCAGAAACGATAATTATAAGAAACACTGAAATCATTAGTAACAATCAGAACTTCGACAACAAGTTTAGTCTCTGCAGCGACTTACTCACCGTACTTCTGGAGTGGTATGCTATAATGAGAGTTTTACAAGCGTTAAATCGCTTATCTGACAGATGTCCAGATTCTCTTGACCGAGAGTTCTTCTTTATCTGTCCCTTGTCCTCGCCAACGCGCACTGACCACCAGAAGGTATTGTCAGCATGACGAAAGAATCATCCACGCAGCGCCAGTACCAACACAAAGATTTCCAAAACAATCATAGACGTCGCACCTCCCACTCACATATGTGTAGTATTGGAGTTCCTCCTCCAGATTGAGTGCTGAGATTACGGTGCATCAACAAGACTCGACTCAGGTCTTAATGAACAGCAATTATTTCCTCTTAGAATACAATTACATACACCAGCCGAACTGTCAGCTATGCGTTCTTTCAATGAATGTTCCAGTGTATTTGTTATCCGTTCTGGTGTTCCTTGTTTAAAGACTTCTAGCGACTTTGTGGTCGCTCGGCACCGTCAGGAGCCCGGTCTTATACATACTCCTGATTACGGTGTTTGTGGAACTATGCAAAGTGGAGGCCGAACACCTCCCCTGTTACAATGTGGGATGTATGTGCCGCGCGGCTAATGTGCCGCCACTGACGTCGTCACGAGATCAATGCTAGTGGTTACTATAAGCGACGTTGTGGTAGAGTGGAAGCAGCAGCCAGTCAGTCAACAGCACGACTAGCACCAACAGGGGCTCTGGCTGAAAGCTGGGCGGAGAGCGGAGCCTATAGTCGCTCTTACACACGTACAGGAACGCTAGATGTAGTAGCACTGCTGGTGGCCAATGCAGGTAGATGTTGAGATGCTGTATCTGTCAACACTTGAGTCTCTGGTGAAATCATTGCAGGATTGGTGCATAGGAATATGGACTTTGGTTTGTTATGACTGCATTAATCACCCCATTGATAGGAAATTGGTAACATTTTCGTGCACTGAAGTGCATGTAATTACTCCTGGAGTAGAAACGTTAGGCCATGTTTGAAATCTGTAACGCTCGAAGGAGGAAATTAAGGTGAAAATACATGCCTGTAGGAACATGACGGGTGGAGGTTACAGGATTCGTGCAAATCAGGGTTTTCGTGTATTAATTAGCGAAACTCTAACATGCAAGTGCTGGGGCAGAGTAGGTTGTATGTGTGAGAGGTGTAATACCCAACGGTCATATCTGTAGCAAGTGATACATGTTAGTTGCAGGGCCAATATACAACCTTCAAACGTGCACATTCAGATATACTCAAAAGCAATTTCATTTAACATGCATTGCTTTCTCGACAAATATATAATATATCTCTTTTTATTCTATACAGATTGAGAAAGAACTTTGTTTGGTTTTCTAATGCTGAAAAAGTAAAAAACTTTTTTATCATGTTTTTTATGAATTTCTTCTTATCTTCACTCCCTATTATGCATGTACAGCAGATTGAAGGTGTAATAATACAATGATGTGGTCTTCTGTTCATCTCCATACGGACGTAAAAAAACAGTATCTCAGTTAAATGACTGGTCAACTTGTGCAACTGTGATATTTTAGCTATCAGTTAAGTTTGCTATTCATAGATACATATTATTGTGCATTTTGCCTTAGATCATGTATCTGTGTTAAAGAAATGTAACAGACAGATTTTAACGGTCAAATTTACATCAGCTTCGGTTCCCATGAATGAGTTTATGTAATATCTCCTGTTTACCCTGCTGCAAAGATAATGGAAGATAAAACATTCGACGTTATAACCTACACATTTTCCTCCAAGGAGCAGTGTACCATACATGAGGAAAGATAATATCTGCGTGGGCGGCAAGAAAGCAAACGGTGCGGTTCTGTTGTTTGTGAGATTTAGCGAAGGTGTGGCAATGTTGTGTGTAAGTGTAGATGTGTTTTTTGGGATGGGAAGTTAGGGAGTTATATAAAAGACTGTACTGTGTAATGAGTGGTAGTGTTTATTCCGGATTCGAAGCAATGATTTTATACCCTACTTGTACTGGGATTTCATGAAATAGAGATGTCCTTGCGTCATATAGATGAAATTACCATAGAAAATTTATGTATTAAAACTCGATGGCAGAGATTGATTATCCGACGAAACTGAGCTTAAAATGAAAAATAGCAGTGACGATTATGTGAAAAGTGGTGACTCAATGAGTTCGCGAAAATGCAAGTGAAAGTTTGTTGTCTAACACAGCGCAGTGTACCCGAATTGGGGCTCGATGTGTTGCCAACATATTGTCACAGGTTAAAATTGCAAAGCTACATATGTTGCCATGTTTATCGCTGGACGCTGGGGTCAGTCAAAGGACATCACAGACAGTGATACTGATTTTACCGATTACATCCATCGACTTTGTATCCATTTGCACACAGAATCACGACAAGGGCCTCGATTAAAGCGCGTACGACCAATGTCAAGGATGACGCGTAACTAACAAGATGGCCCGCACCTATAAATGTTATTATTGGTGGAAAACCAGTGTCAACAGAGGTGAGTTAAAATGGGAATGAACGTCGCGTTTAAACAATCATATTTCACTTATATAGCGAATATAATGTGTATTAACAACATTAAATTTAGAAAGGCGACACATGGTTTAGAGTGAATGAGTGAGTTAATATTTAACGTCACATCGGCAATATCTCAGCCATATCGTGACGAAAACAATTTATACAATAAAACATGAAAACATTTTGGAGAGTAAAACCTGTCGACGATGGACAGTATAAATACTAGAATATCACATATATGAACATAAAACTAGCATGTCAAACTAAAAGATTTTAATAAAGGAAGACAATACAATATAAAACACGGGCTATTGATCGCCAACGACTGAAGGTAGATCACCATACCAGGGACCATGGGGACTTACATTACATTTGCTACCTGCATGGACCCTAGTTGGATTTACACCATCCCTTCAGCTGTCAGCAATATTTGACAATCCAGCCGTAAATTAAAAGAACATATATGCTACGATTAAAACATGGTTTAGAAGCTCTTTGACTGTCATGGAATGTAAAATGGTAAATAGTCTTTCTTACGTGTAAGATGACGAAACCTTCATTGTGTAATGTCAAGGACGAAAAACAATAGTTGTTTCATTTTGCGAATTGCGAACTTTGACGTCGACAATAACCTGACGTCGTAAAGTTGTACCCTGTTTGACGTCATAAGTATGTACCTTGTTTGACGTCATAAGGATGTACCTTGTTTGACGTCATAAGGCTGTACCTGTTTGACGTCATAAGATGTACCTTGTTTGACGTCATAAGGATGTACCTTGTTTGACGTCATAAGGATGTACCCTGTTTGACGTCATAAGGATGTACCTTGTTTGACGTCGTAAGGTTTTACCTTGTTTGACGTCATAAGGATGTACCTTGTTTGACGTCATGGCGTTTCTACCTGTCACTGATTGATTATTCAGAACATGATGTCAGGTAAATATTCTCTTCTCTCTCTGTCTCTTTCTCGGGGGCGATAGGGTAGCCTAATGGTTAAAGCGTTCACTCGTCGCGCCGAAGACTCGGGTTCGAATACCCACATAGGTACAATGTGTGAAGCCCATTTCTGGTGGTCCCCGCTGTAATATTGCTGGAATATGGCTAAAAGCGACGTAAAACCAAACCCTGCTGTGTCTCTCTTTCTCTCACATGCTGTTTGTACCATAGTGCTATCCCTCTAATACATCGCCGTTCTTATTATGGATACTACACTCAGACACATTACACTGACATTTTCTTTATACACATAAAACCGTGTGAAAGGTGTTTTCGTTCATCACGTAATTATTCACATCACCAGATTATATCTGCTCTGAGACTGGAAAAAACACAATGAAATTAATCTAGTACTTATGAAATTAGACAAATGGCATTATAGTTACGGAAAGTGCGCCTTAATATGTGAAGGCGCAGAGCCTGCCGTTCTGCCTTTCATCAACACATCCTTGTCAAATCTCTTGTAATGAATCTTTTTATCTGCGAAGAGTACACGTCAGAACTGGGGATGCGGTTATTCACATTTCATTAGTTTTCTGGACCCAGCAATGTTGTCCATGTACATTACAGAATACAGACACGAATCTGTCTCGTCTATCCAGAGTGACGACAGCGGATGTATTGCTGTGGATGGATGTTTCAAAACAGTGTGGTTCTTCAGCCAATCAATACCAACGAAAGAAGTTCCTCTGAGATGGATACATATAATAACAGATAAGCTTTTACATGTATTAGAATGACTGTTGTTCATTATTGCAGCAGTCATTATCTATCTGTGCAATGATTGCAATGGGCATTATCTATCTGCACGATTAAACATTGATTAAAATTTAACGAAGACTACCTTTCGTTCAATGCTTTTATTGGATGATATTTGTTCCTTCAAGGTTTAGGCATATGCAAATTATCTACATTTGCCACAAGTATCCATCTGACGTGATGTTACATTATACCTTGTTGACGTTCTGGGGGTTTCTGTTATCGTGACAGTGTGAGAGAGACCTGTTGAGGATGGCCTTTTGTATTGCAGTATTCGCGTAAAACGTAACCAAATAGCAAGATTTAATGTTTGTATCATAGGCTTTTAGTTCATCTTGCCCATATCTGATTTGGGGAATTAGTATCACTGTTGTTTAGTGTATTGGTGTTTCGTCATTTCGCTGCAACAGGATCCGCTGCTCGTGGATAAGAACACAAAATGAGGCGGTGGGGTAGGTCAGTGGTCAAAGCGTTCGCTCGTCATGCCGAAGGCCCGGGTTTTCCCACAGGTGTACAAAGTGTGAAGCCCATTTCAGGTGTTCCCCGCCGTAATATTGCGGGTAAATTGCTAAAAGCGGCATAAAAACCAACTCACTCACTCACTCACTAGAACAACAAATTGCCCTAGGTATCGGTATTTTGTTTAACTATAAGCTGCTATCGTCTACGGTCTCCATTACCATAAGCTTTCTTCCCCCATTGAACTGACACGCCGTGAAATGACTGAATTACTGCGGCCCAGAGTGGCGTTTAAGCCAACTTACACGTATTTCATGCTCGCTGCACAGACATCGTTGTGAGAACGAATTATGATCTATTTATCAAAAAGAGAAACGTCAACGCACGCAACGAGTTTACTGACCTTAACTATGAAACGTATTTTCCTTCAACATACATCAAGTAATCATTAATTTTCATGCTATTTCATAATGAGATAAGCAAACTCTTGCTCTCAAAATATCGCCGTGAGGCAAAACACTTTTGGAATATGGTCGGTCAAAGCAAAATCGTCTCTCAAACGCGATAACCAGCTGGCTGTGTGTTCTGAAGCGATATATATATGTAACGATACCCCATCAACCGTTCTTCCTAAGGTCTAATCAAGTCCACCTTATTGTAAACATTAGTGATCGTTTGGGTAAAATTCATATCTATATCCAATCTCATGCATGAGAAACGTTTCATTCATTTCATCACATGAGCTGTGTTATTGTGAACAGTTTCCAGCTACTGAAACAAATGGACAATCCACATCATGTTAGCGTCTGAGCTAACGGAACGGATCCTGACAACGCCTTGTTTCCGTAGAGGACCTGGCCCCGATTTCTCGAAACAAAATTA